GCTCCCTTAGGAGCAATAGGCACTATGGAGTATCTGAGTGCTAACTACAGGTCTCCTCTTGCTTGGAATCTGAGTGACAGAAATGCTTTTTAAGTGTTGTTTTCACAAATGTGCATTTGAATTGAAGAAGTGCTACAATTCTGTGAATGCAACTCATCACCTAGATAATCAGTGCCGTCATAATTCTTCAGAGTTTACATATTTGTGCTTGATAGTGCTTCCCTGTTTTTGCTTCTCATAGTATTTGTCCCGATGGCGGGACTGCACCCCCACCCCCACCGGAGTCAGCCGCCCAGACACGACGCCAGAGGAACACAGAACACGCCGACCGACGCTTACCGGGGCCGGCCGGCAAGCCGGGAGGCGACGGGTCGGCGGGGGTCGGTCCTCGGGCAACGGGGAGAGGAGCGGGCGGGGCGGAGGCGCGGCGGAGAGGGGAGCCCGACGCAGCAAGGGAGATGGGCGGACCCGAAACAGTCCTCCCCAACTCAGCTCAGTACAAGGAAATAGCAGGGAGGCTACTTGGGGCTCTGGAGTGCAAACAGTGGAAGCACAAAAAGGCTGCTGTTGCTCCATACCTTGTTATTGGGAAAAGGCCCCTGGAAAGCTGTGAATCAGGGTCACAGAGAAGCATTCTCATGGTGTATGCACAATATAATCGCCACAACACAGTATTACGGTACACCAAAATTTGTACATCTGCCCCATTTTAAAAGGCAACATATGAGTGTAGCAGACAAGAAAACCCCCTTATAGTTGGCAGGAAAAGAAACATTGGGCCAAGATTCTGCTATGTAATGAAGAACTTGCTTCTCTTCTTCTCTTCTCTTAATTTGGTAGCAGTGAAAGGAGAGAGTAATCAGCTACAAGATGGTGCTAACCTTCCAATTCAAGGGCATGGAAGTTTGAGCTGCAGTGTAGCCAAACTCTCTGAAAAGGAAGCAAACTAGTTTAGAATGTGGAAGCATATCGTCTCCTGTGCATTGTAGATTGTTAAATGAAGTAAAATACCCCACAGCAGAGGTCATTTCGGGGGGGATCGCGGGGGATCGCAGTTCCCCCGGGTGAGGTACAAGGAGGCGGGGCACATGACGAAGCCCCGCCCCTGCTTCCGGCTGCCCCACTTCTGGCCCTCATTCAGCCAGGAGAAGGCAGGAGAAGAGGGAGGGTAAGCCGGGATCATTGGGGGCGGGGTGTGTGGCCTTATGACACACTTCCGGTGATTTCAGGGATGTGTGGCCTTATGACACACTTCCGGTGATGTCAGGGTGTGTGGCATATGCTAATGAGTTATGCTAATGAGTCCCCCTAGCTCTTTTTCTACGAAATGACCCCTGCCCCACAGACTATCACTGTGTCTTTTATTTGTAAATTTAAACCCATGATGCTCCAATAAATGTGTTAGTGTTTAAACAATGATGCCAGCTCTGGGTTGAGAAATGTCTGGAGATTTTGGAGGTGGAGCCTGAGGGAGGGACTTCAATGGGGTATAATGCCATAGAGTCCACCTTCCAAAGCAGCCATTTTCTCCAGGTGAACTGATCTCTGTCACCTGGAGATGAGTTGTAATCCCAGGAGATCTTCAGCTACCACCTGGGAGTTGGCAACCCTATGTTTAAAGCAACACTGCCCTTTGTTCTGTTTTGTTTAGAAATTTCTCTTACCCAAACTACACATTGTGCTGCGGTCAATCTCCTGCCTATTTTTTAAAGTTAAAATGCAGCTGTGGAGGGGTGCCAGTTTTGAAAGAGTGGAACAGAGAGCGTGTGTTAAACCGTTTCCTTCAGTGCCATTTTCCTGGTGAAAATCCTTCCCCAGCTGCCTCAAAAAGGGAAAGATACATTTCTTTTAATGTGGATTTTGAGCTTCAGATGGATCTTTTTTGTGAAAGAACAAAAGGAAGTCTTAAAATAGATTGCTACTCCAAATATGCCTAAATATTTAGAATACTTTTAAGACAAATACATTTCACTAAAAACTTTGGCAACACTCCACCTCTAGTCATGCATAAGCAAACTGTTAATATGCCATTATTTGTACAAGAATATGGATGTGTATTGGAATGCACAATGGAATGTGCATCCCATTCAAAACAATACAGTACTAAGGACTGCTTGGTCACTTGACTATGCCTCTGATTTATGCCCATAGGTCCTAAACCAGCAACTGATACATGCAATAACACTTCTTTATATGCATAGATCTCTTTCACAGGATCTGCTGTTGGAAATTTGTAAATGTCAAGCACTGCTAGCCCTGTTATGTTGTCATTAAAGAAGTCCCCTGCATGAGCTGAGCCTTCAGATATGTAAATAAACAAAATAATGTTGGTTTCCAAGGAAATAGTATAATCTGTAAACTGCAATTTTGAGCAGAGGGCTTAACTGGTTTCATTAACTGTTTAATTGGGTTCATTAATTGGTTTCATTAACTGTTCATGAGATATGTAAGTGATACTCTTCTGTTAACTGGGATGGATTTATTTTGTACTGGGTGAAGTGGGTGTTGGGTTGCTGGCATCCCGGTGGAGCCTGGAGTTCTCCCAGAGTTCTCCCCAGACTACAGAGACCAGTTCCTCTGGAGGAAATGGCAGCTTCAGAGGGTAGACTCTGTGACCACAAGGGTAAGAAAGAAGTCTGATAAAGGGCCAATATTAAAACCCTAGTAAAAAATTATAATATACAAAAATCCATGTATTTATTAGAAAGCCAGTTAAAAACAAATAAGGGCCCAATGAAAGCTCCGTTACAAAGTTCAAGTGGCCTGACAAGGATGTTTGTTTGTGGACACTCTAGCTCTAACTAAGATAGTCACATAGGTGCTTTCTGGACCAGAACTGGAAGATGTTCTAATTCAGCAGCTGTGCATTTGGCACCAGACACATGACTCTCATCTTTAGAGGCCTCATAAACATCCTTGTCTTGTGTCTATTGCTCTTGCGGCTTAACTTTCCTTTTTTGGTCCGGTATTATCAGGGCTGTTTTTGGGCAGGAACACACAGGAACAGAGTTCCAGCTGGCTCCCAAGTTGGCCACACCCAGCAGGAAATAATTAGCATAATAGGCCACACCCAACAGCAGAAACTCATTAGGATTGGCTACATTAGGAGTGTGTGGCCTAACATGCAAAGGAGTTCCTGCTACAAAAAAAGGCCCTGGGTTTTGACAACAAACAAGGTAAACAGAATAACAAGCAAAAGGTGGGTGTGGCTGGATGACCACATTTCTGGTAACATGTGGGTGTGGCCTAATGTGCTAATGAGCTGTGCTGTCAGGGGTGTGGCCTAATATGCTAATGAGTTTCTGCTGTTGGGTGTGGCCTATTATGCTAATGAGTTCCTGCTGGGCTTTTTCTAAAAAAAGAGCCCTGTCGGTTATTTTATTGTAATATGTAATATTGGTACATGTGTACCTCAAACTGTTTGACTTCTGAAGAAGGCCCCCTATAGGGCGGAAACGCGTCAGATCACTTATATTGGCCCTTGGGTTCAGGCCACTTGAACTTTGTAACGAGGCCTTCATTGGGCCCTTATTTGTTTTTAACTGCCTTTCTAATGAATACATGTCACTTTGTATATTATAAGTTTACACTGGGTTTTTAATATTGGCCCTTTATCAGACTTCTTTCTTACCCTTGTGGTTCTTGATTCCAGTTTTTGGGTCAAGTCTGTTTTCCCCTCCCTGTGTCTTACTGGTAGACTCTATGACATCACATCACTACTTAGCTCCTTCTAGGGTTGCCAGCCTCCAGGTGGGGCCTGGAAATCTCCTGGAATTGCAACTGGTCTCCAGACTACAGGGGTAGTCCCCTGGAGAAAATGGTTGCTTTGGAAGGTGAACTGTATGGCATTATACCCCACTGAGGTCTAGGATTACCAGCCCCCAGGTCCCAGCAGGGGATCCCCTGGTTTCGAGGGCTTTCCCCCACCACAGACCAGCTGGCCAGTGGGGGACACCTCGCTTCTAAACAGGGATGTTGTCATGTGATGTCCACGACACAATGACATCACTTGGATGTGGCATCATTGCGTTGGGGACATTGCACAGGGGACACTCTGGCTTTTGGGCAAACTCTATGGCTTAAGCCCAGTTTGCTTGCCCCAAACCCAGAGCACCCCTGAGCAATGTCCCCACCCACCCCTGGCATGCCCCCCAAATCCCCCCACTGGAGCAACAAGGGGACCTGGCAACCCTACTGAGGTCCCTCCCAGGCCCCACCCCAAAATCTTCAGGAATTTTCAAAACCAGAGTTGGCAACCTGAGCTCCTTCTCTCCCCAAACTCCACCTTCCCCAGGCACTGGCCCCAGATTCCCAGCAATTTCCGAAATCAGAGTTGACAACCCAAAGTGGATAACTGGTATTAGGCAAGCAAGATCAGGGGTCATTTCGTAGAAAAAGAGCTAGGGGAACTCATTAGCATAACTCATTAGCATATACCACACCCCCTGACATCAGGGGCCCGGCGGTGGACCTGCAAGGCCAGCGGGAGTGCGAGGAAGCCCCGCCAAGGCCCTCCCTGGCCCCAGGCAGGCAGGGGTGGGGAGAGGCGGGGAGGAAGCAACTTACCCTCCCTCTTCTCCTGCCTCCTCCTGGCTGAATGAGGGCTGGAAGCGGGGCGGCCGGAAGCAGGGGACGGGGCTTCGTCATGTGCCCCGCCCCCCTGCACCTCACCCGGGGGAACTGCGTTCCCCCGCGTTCCCCCCCGAAATGACCTCTGAGCAAGATAAATACCAGTAGTGGCTCTTCAGTCTATTTAAAACCATATTTTAAAGTTCCTTAAGTTCTTAATAAAATTGTTTACAAACAATAGGTGTTAGATGCCAGTTTTTATTGGAGCTAGCTGAAGGCCATAGTAGGATTTCAATCGTATGGTGAAAGAATTAAACTTACTTGTACACATAAGAATAATGTGGTCAGTTTTTACTGTGTTGCTGAAAGTATCACTTGGTATATTTTTACTTTCTCTGTTTTTAATTACATTTTTCACATAAACTATTCAGGAGCCCCCTGCTGAAGTAGCAATATCCAATACACCTGCTATAGTTCTTCCAGAAAATACAGTTATACAAGATACAGAAAAGGAAAGAAATCTATCCCTCAGGTAAATAAAATTATTGCATACATTGCATATTGTGTATGTGTGTGTATCTTCTGCTATCAGTTCTGCTATCAGTTTCCAAGTGTCCATAGAAAAAGAGGTGCAGGAGCTTATTAGCATAACTCATTAGCATAACTTATTTGCATATGCCACACCCCCTGACATCACCAGAAGCTACCCTACAACAAGCATGAAAATACAGATCAAGTTAGTATTGCTATTTATTTTTGTGATAGTTGCTATACAAAGTCTCCTGGGTTCAGCTTTTTAAACTCCAGTTTTTTTAGAAGGGCAAATTAGCAGTGACCTTTGCTATATATGAGTGGGGTTGGTTTGTTTTGTAAAAGGCAGTTACATTCTTATTTGTTTATTTGTTTGTTTATTTGCATTTTTACCCCGCCCTCCCCGCGAACGGGCTCAGGGCGGCTTACACAGGGGCATAAGCCCATACATAAAACAATATAAAACAGTAAAAACCATTAAATCACAACAAACAGATAAAGTGCTCCACTTATCAGACCAATGTACCTGTATAGTTACATGAAAAATAAATTATTGCAAAAAAAAACTTGTTCAAATAAATGGTTACTTGTATGAACAGTGTGACATTAGAGAATGGGACTTGTGCAAGCTTTTTTTATATGCTCAGCAAAAACTTTTAATAATGGAAGGACAGCCACAATCTCATGCAAGTTTCTCTTTCAGTCACTTGCAAACTCTCCACCAAGTGGTACACATTCTGCTTGCTTCATGTTTCACAGGGCTAGCAGATCTACTAGTAAATTATGAATAACCTGACCCCTCGAGAGAGAGGTGTGCCCAAAACAGAGTTACACACATGACGCATATAATAACGTTAAATAATATTAAATACATAACCAAGTTGCCTTCTTCAAGTGAATACAAGCTAAGCTTTGCCTGTTG